TGATAAAGTCAATGCAAATATCTTAGCTGCTACTCCAAGCCTTCTAAACCATCCTGTAAGTATCTTCTGAAATTAAGCACGAATAACTCAGAAAAGTCACTACATGCCAACTGGTCTACTATAACTTCCTTCCAAGGACAATTGACACATTCTTAATTCTTTGCTTTTGCTGTATTTGTTTTAACACACAAACACCATTTCTCCTTCCCAATTCCTATTTTACAATCCAGTTCAGTCAGACATGTTGGTGTATGCCTGTAATCCCAGCATTCTGGGAGGCTGAGGAGAGAGCTTACAAGTTTGCACCAAGTCTGGGCAATTTAGAGATGTAACAAGACCCTTTCTCAAAGTAGAAAGTAACTGAAGACTAGGGATGTAGCTTAGTGAAAAGGTCCTGAATTCAATCCCTAGCACCAAAAAAAAAAAGTCCAATTCAACTACTCCCAATTCCCTCCACGAAACCTCTTGTACCAAACTAGCACATGGAAGATCTCCTTCATATTCCACAGGTGCTCAAACCTGCTATGGAGACATTTGTACCCTTCTCCCACCCCCTTTCATACTTCAAACATGATACTGTGGTTATTTTTATCTCATAAGTGACATTATTGGAGCTTTCTCAAAGTAAGTGGCAGTCAAAGTTGAATCCAAGCCTGTAATGTTCCAGTGCAGAATCGAGAACAGGAAATTTATGTTTTGATCATTTGTTATGTGACAGGTGCTGCACCCAGGAAAAACAATTAAAATCCTTATTAAGACTCACAGATTCATTCACAATGTGGCTCTCTCCTTCAGCACTTGATAGTTTTCCTGTCATCTCTTAAGCCCTAACCACATAAGCCTCCTTTTCACTTCTAAGACTTAGAGAACACTTCATACCTCATGGCTTTGCCAGTGTTATTTCCTTTGCCTGAAACACTCCTCTCACAAGCCTAATCTCTATGCATTTTGATCTTAATTCAAATATAATTTCCTCAAGATCCGTTCCACAATCCTTCTTAAAAAGGATTGTATTGTATATACTGTAACTCCCATTGTTCTTTTGTATTTCCTAGCATTTCAACCCTAAATGCTTCTGTAGCCATTTATTTAATGCATGTCTCTCCGTTGCTGCTCTATCATGAGTCCCTTTACTCTTTTTCACTGTTTCTCTGCAGTGTGCCCACACGGAGGGAATGACTGATATCCTTCAACTCTTACGAGGTATTTGAAGACTTGGCAGAAATTAAACAAGCTTAACCTCATAGGTAGTAAGACACTGAGATTTTCCGTGTTGAAACAATATACTATTTCTACTACAGAAATGTTAACCAAGTTTAACTCAATCCCCTTAATCTATATTTAGAGTCTTTTTTCCCTTCACAGCTTATAATCATTGCAAATACATATTCAACTCTAAAAACAAGTGCTATATGAGAATTTTAACACTGAATGTTGTTTAAATAAAAATAAACTAAAACTGGATTGCAATGTTCCCATAGAAAAGGGTAAATTGGCGCTTCAGAGAGCCAACCACAACACATAACGGAAAATGAATGGCCTTATCCTTCAGGATGTGGCAGCTGGCTTTCAATTTCAGGATAGGCAGCAGAATGTCTAATTCATCAGAAGAAAGCAGCCCAAACCATCCAATTTGTTATTCCAGGGTTAATGAAATGACCAGGATTTCTCACTGTTACACTTTTTTTTTTTTTCGTTTTGCTTTTTTCTGGTACCGGGAATCGAACTCATGAGCTCGTGCTTGCCAGGCAGGCGCTGTGCCACTGAGCTAAATCTCCAGCGCCTTGTTTCACTTTTGATTGCATGTCTCCACTGAAGTCCTAACACAGACTTTATTACACAAAAAAATCTAGGTGCCAACAATATAAAGTAACTATCAAACTACAAGGGGAGGTGGCTGTTTGCACCAAGTTTAAAGCACCTACATGTAATTGAAATTTGTTTTTCCAAGATCTCAGAGAGTGCAATAACGGAAATGTATTTTATAGAGTCATTCACTATAAGGGACTCCCTTAAATAATTCTATTCTACATTTATACTGCAAAGGCAATAAAATACTGTACAGCTCATACCATTGTTAAGGCAAAGATGCAATACTACTTATGTTAGGATGAGTTTATGGATCCTGAGGGGAATTTACTTTCATTTAAAACAGCAACAAATTTACAATGAAGAAGGAGGGTTTTACTTGCTTTGGGACAGAAGGGCGTCACAGACTGTGACGACATGTATTTCTGCTCCAACTGGGAAAGAACAATTAGTCTTACTTTGCTGGAGGACTTAGATGTCTACATCTTCCTTCCGCATATCCCAAAATAATAATTTTAAAGATCATAAGCAAAATACCCTTATATCAAATTGTGCCTAGACCCACTTAACCAAGTCCCAAAGGCATAGAGCAACAAAACTCAGCAAACCTATGTCCACAGTTATTTGACTAGCATCCTTAAAATCATATGCCACTTCTGCCAAAGACTTTAGCAGTGTAGAGGTAAGCTAAAAATGGGGACAGCATTCACTCTGACCTTGTTGAAAACTTGTAATGAGTCAAAAGCATCTGAAATTATGTATCCACCACAATAATAGATTCAAACAGAAACTACACACTAAGCGTAGTTTAAAATTGGTATCCCACCTCTGCTTCCCTTTCCAGCTCTGCTCTGCCAAACAAAATTTTTGGCAAGACTGAATCACCTTACTCAAATAAATTCAGACTCAAAGTTCTATCACTGATTCACTTTGATCTTCTGGGCTGCTATGAAACATGTCAGGCTGCATGAGCCCAAGAATGTAAAGATGAATAATTCATCTACAGTATTATCAAAAGTTGGTGACCCGCAATGTCCTGAATTTTTTAAACTCCGAAGACCCTTTAGTAAAAATTCTCATTAGAGACAGTATTTTATATACACAGTGCTTAGAATATTTAAGCAAGCAACTGGATTGAAGAAGAAGAAGGAAAAAAATAAAACCAAAATGTTAGGAAGGTAATCTCCAGGTCCTCAGTGTTTATTTTCAGGACACTGACTTCCACTTTCTTTGAATTCCCCTGGGCCTTTACTGACACTTTTCACCCTCTCCACACCAAGTGGCTCCAATCTCTCCCCCCCATTGTTATTGCCAACCTAGCCCTAAGCTGTTTTCACTTATAATGTTCTAGTGGTTGCTTTCTGTTTGTTTTTTCCTTTGTTTGTGATTTGAGACAGGACCTCGTTAGGTAGTCCAGGTTGACCTTGAACCCTCCAGGTATCCCACGTGAGCCTCAAACTTGAGATCCTCCTGCCTCAACCTCCTGCATACTATTACAGGTGTGAGCTACCACACTCAGCTCCCAGTGCCTTCTTAACTGATATTTCAGCACCATGGTTTTGTGGTGAGGACGCCCACATAAAATAACTACAGTACTGTGTTTTATGATAAAAACATGTACACTTAGCTTGGAGAACAAACTGAGGAAGCCGCATTCTTCTTGAAGTGACAATAGTCTCTGGGTTTTGATCTGAGGCGCTCAAAGAGTATTTCCCACCCCTAAAATGATTGTGATATGAAAATGCAAAGACATCTATTTTTCCTCTAACATTCGTAGGGGCTACTGTTTTCAGGACATGATCTTAGCCCTTTGCTCAGTTAATGCTTAAACTACTAGCTTGCATTTAAGAAAAACAAAGCACACAGAGGTTAAGTAACTTTCCTCTGAACACTGTCAGTAACTGTGAAAGACAACTCCAGCCCAGATAGCCTGGCCCTGAGTCCATGTTATTAATCTTCCTTACTCCCAGAAAACAGAGGCTATGTTTTACTCACCAATGTATACTTAGCACTTACCTTGCTATATAGGAGCTTAAAAGAAGATCAATCAAATACCACTGAAAAATAAATTGAAATAGAGGGGCCAGGTGCTCACATTCAAAAGTGAACATTCTGTAAACACTTCCAAACAAACAGAAAGGATGAGATAGATGAAGACACAGAATAGGCTCCAGCCAATTCCTGGGCACTCTGGCCTTGGAGGATTCCTCAAATGCATATTTGACCCTGTTATGCCCCTGACCTCATTGCTCATCAGTGTTTTTCCAAGCTTTTATATACAATTTTTCTTCGTAATGGCTAAAAGCTGACAACTACCAGTCCTTAAGAGCCAGGCGCATGGAAGCCACACAGTTTCTCCTGGACTGTGGGCCTCCCCCTCCATAGCCAAGCAAGTTCGCCGTCAGTCTGTGATGTATGCTGCTTGTTGGAATAACAAAACAATGCTTATCACTGCTTCAACCTGCAACTCCAAGCAGAAAACTGTCCCTGTCATGGCCCCAGCATCTCCTGTCCCACATCTGCGTTCTTCCTGAGCACTCCAAGCTGTAGCTTCACAAAGGCCAACGGCTCACCCACCGGGTGCCAGCTGCTTAGCCCCTTGTGTAAATGCCTTCCCCTGATTAGGAGAGGCCCTGATTCACCAGCCTCTCTCCCCTTCTCACCAGCCAACCGTTAGGAGCAACCGCAGTGCCAGTCACATTTCCATCTGATGGACTTTAACAGTTAGCCCCTCGTGGACTTTGAGAAGACAAAGCCATCCTTCCAAACCCTTCTCAGCCATGATTTCATTGAAGTCTCCCTTCAGCACACTTCCTCCCCAAGTTACTATTTCCCCAGTTCCTTACACTGCCTGCTTCTGTGTGCAGCGGTGGTGTCCGCCCTGCTCCACTGTGCGGTCCCTGGAGGCAGGCCTTTGTTCCTGTCCCCGGGACACACACAGCCAGAGTGCCAAGCCATCCCCAGCCTTACAGGTAAAACTCAGTTTATGGGAAATTCAGGACACATCAGGTAATGGAAAAGATAAGACAGCTGGCTCTGAGGCTGAAATTAGACTCAAATTGAAAGGTCTGAGCATCTCAAATTTCTATTTTCTTTCCTGATCGAAATGCAGATTCCAGATCTCAGGGATGTCCGAGTTCTTGGCGCTCAAAAAGTTCAGAGACATCGGAGGTGGCCTAGAAGTCACTCACCAGCTGGTGGACGGCGTGTGTCTGTTCTCCAGCGTTTTAGTCCAGGGCTTGTACCAGCTGATCTGCTCAGCAGCTTTGCCCCAGAACCTCTCGGGGTCGGCCACCGAGGCTGCGAAGTGGGTCTTGTACTCTCCACCCCCAGAGGACAGCGCCCGGCAGCCCAGGCCCGCCAGAGCGCCCCTAGGGCCCGGGGCCACCAAAGCCCTGCGGGCGGCACTGGTTCCCCGGGCCGAAGAGGACCCGGGCAGGGGTCCCCCGAGTCCCCCGGCGCCGGTAACTTTGCGACACTGCAGCCAGGACGGCTTCATCCCCCCCTACCCCGACGCCCCGCGCGCCCTGACTGTGCGCCCAGCTCCGTGAGCCCCGGCCACGGGCGACCTCTGGGCCTCTGGGAGCCTGCGGGAGGCGGAGGCAAATTACGAGGTGTGCCCGAAGCCCAGAAGTTTGGAAGTCACACTAGAGTCGCCAGGAAAAACCGACCTGGAGCCACCGGGAAAGCAACAGGCTGGAGTGGGGACCCGGCTGGCGCGGGGCGAGTGGTGTCACAGCTCTGTAGCGGGATCCAAGGCCCACATGTGGCGTTGCCACGAAAATCCCCTTCAAACAGAGTAAGATCCTGAGACTTAGAACACAAGCGTGCCAGCTCAAGGCCAGAGCCACCAACTTGCTCGCACTTTTCAAACAAGCAAGCACTGCGCAGCGTCCCTGGCTTCATCGCCAAGGCAGCAGGAAGCATCTCCCCTTGTCCCCGGCCCGACTCCACAACCCTGAGCACTACAGCAAGACCGCTGATTTCCTACTTTTAGTTATTTATGCATGCGCTTCTTTAAAAATCAACTCAGTTCCAGGTTACTAAAAACACAAATCACTCTCGGGCAATGGTTGCTCCAGGATTTCCCGACAGCTGAGAGGTAGGAGGAGTGGAGGGAGGTTGCAGGACAGATTGGGGCGCCTTTGGAGGGGTGATTGGCAGGCCCCTGAGAAGGTGGCCCCGTGGGATGAGGGTTCACCTGTGTCTGTACTCCCTGCAGGAGCTGTAATTTACTCCCGTCGAATTTGCCCCTTGGCGGTTTTTGTGTCGGCCTTTTGTTCCTAAGGAGAAAACAAAACATGGCTATGGATTTCTTTTTCGGACATTGAAAATGTCCTAAAATTGATCGTGGTGATGGTTGCACAACTCTCTGAACAGACTAACCACATTGTACCGTGCGCTTTAAAGGTCAGAGCTGTGTGATGTGAGAATTACATCTCAAGGAAGGTGTTTAAAGCAAAAGAAAAGAAAAATTCAAAGCGGGTGGAGAGCTGGGAAGACTGAAAGAGAAAGGTGGTATAAATTACCATCTGGATTTCACATTTTTCAAGTTCTGTTTTACACGCTTTAATGAAGTTCAGATGAAATCTTTTGCCTTGATATTATGCCAAACACATTCTGCCTTGGTGTGACAATATTTTCAGTCTTCAGTGTAAAGATATGTACCCCCAATCTGAAGTGAGAAGGAGTGGAATGCCCTGACCCTGGAAAGGATCAGAACGTGAGCAGCTGTAAACAAATGACTCTGCAGGAGGAGAATAATGCAGAGAATGGCTAAGCAGAACTGACAGAAATCCAATGCAAAATAGGAAAAAAAAAAAAAAATTTAAACAACCTCAGCTATTTCCTTTCCACTCAGAAGCAAGGCACTGTACCTTCCCCTGACACTACAATATACTTCATTCCTCCCCAAATTCTCAAAGCAAAGGATTTCTGAGGACAAAAGACACTGCCACCCCTGGCATCCTCTGACACTCCCTCATTCCACTCCATCCTTTAATGCTCCTCTCAGGTGCACAAGTCCCACTGACTTCTATTTGGCCCCCACTGTATTCCAGTGGTGTACACTTTAATTATTCACTTAGCAAGCATGTGAGCACCCATATTATGTAAGGTGCGGTTTTTTGGTGCAGATACAAAAGAAAGACCAGGCGATTGGTCAGCAGTGCTTTGTATGTGTACATATTGAGCTCTGCACTTCCAAAATACGACAGTTTTTGTGATTCTCAAAACAGTACTACAAAGTGGAAATTATAATCCCCATGTCTATAAATGGAGTTTAGAGATAGGGTAAGTTGCTCCAGGCCACAAAGCTACTATAAGCTAATCAGAACTAAGCCTTTTTGAGCTTTAGCACTTCAGAGCCAGGATACCGGGAATTACTTGAGAGCCCCGATACTCAGAGCTGCCCCTCTGAAGTGGGCCAGCGCACTCCAGCCCTGCCACTCCAGAAGTGTGCAAAGATCACTTTCTCTCTGTTCCACGACTTGAATGAGTGGGGAAATCTGACTCCAAAGTCCATGATTTTCCTACAATGCTCATTATCTTCCTATTTCAAAAGAAAAAAAAAGATTTTAGACTTTCAATAGAATATGACGGCTTGAACCATCATCCCATTCTCCCTTGAGTAACCCAACTGAAAGAGAATTGAAGAGGGCAGGGGTGTATGCCTGGAGAAACCAACAAGGATGAGGAGAACTGGAAAGATGGAGACAGCAAGAGAGAGAACAGCTGGAACCTGGATCTGTGGTGTTTGACTTAAAAGAGAGAGGAAGCTGAATGTGACTGTCCCTGAAGAGAAGAATGGATTGCTTCCTTACAATCTGGGCTGTCTTGGGATTTCAAGTCCCTGGGCTCCTCTGAAAGTTCAGAATGAAGATTTGTGTTTAACAACAAGGGAGTTGATTCAAAAAATGTATAAGGAAGTTAGATCTTTATGTTGTCCGAGGAAAAACTACTTACTGCAGACCCATCAACACATCATCTTGTTTCTGTAAGTCACTGTGTGGACTAGATTGTTAACATAAGGTCCATTTTAGGCCAAATGAAAGGCATGAATGAATCCACAGTCCAGCAAAGGTGAGAAGTCTGGGGTGGGCTTAATGTAATGCGCACAAAATGAAGAGAGCGCCTAGACTAGAAAACTGCCTGAAAACTGCCTCTTTGCAGGCCAGGTAAGGAAGTGTTACATAGTGTCCCAGGTCAGAGCCTAGGGTAAACTGTTGGCCTTTAAGTCACTGAAGCCAGGTGATTGGCTACTAAGCATATTACAAAGTTTAAAATCATGATCCATTGAGTCTCCCTCTGAATTTTAATAGTGACATTTACTAGGTGTGAAAACTTGGAAAGTTTACTACCTTTCCTTGCTGCAGTTTTTGCATCTATAATCCAAGGCTGATAAGTTTATTTTACAGAACTCTTGTGAGACTTACATATGGGTAATTGTTGGGCTTCTTAGCATAAGTGCAGTAGCAAGCCAAATTATTTTAGGATAGTGGTGAAACTCATGAGCAATCAATCCTCTGAAAAAATCAACTCCCAACAAATTCAGTCTCCTTAATATGCCTAAAATTTACAATCAAAACATTTCCAAAGATATTATCTTCATTTAAGCATGCATGTAATGTTTGTACAATTTCAGAGAGTAAAATTATACTCTCTGAGGGACAGGGTAAACGCAATCAATGTTTACACTATCTTTTAAGTGCATCTTATTTATTTCATATGATGTGAATAATGGACCAATTAATATGCTCTTCATGATATCTTAAATGCTGTAGGCAGAAATTTACTGATGATATCTGAGAAAATCCTTCTAGTAAGTGGAAAATGCAGGAAGATGGAGAGATATAGAAGAAAAAATTTATGAAAAAAAGTATGAGGATATGAAAAGTTGAGAAAAACTGTTCAACAAAATATAAATGGAAGGGAGAAAGCTGGAATCAGAATACTTAATGTCTAAGGAAAATGCTGAAAAATAGAAGAAAAGCAGAATGGCGCTAGAATGAGAAGAGAGAGAAGGGGAGAGTGGAAAGGGGCTGGGAGGGGAGGGAAGGGGAGGAGAAGGGGAGGGGGAGGGAGAGGGGGAGGGAGACAACAGGAGAGAATTTTAACATACAGATTTTTCTGCTCATGTATCTGCTGACCACATAATTCACATTTTTACCAGCTTTTCTTGACAACCAGATGTTTAACTACAAGTACTAGAACTATTACATAGGTTTTTGGGGGCTTGTTTGTTTGCTTACATCTCTTATAGTTCTTATTTCTTGGATATCATAAAAACTTGGCAAGTGGATGTGTTCGCACAACACGCTTTATCTGTGAAGCAGGTATGTGGTAAGATTCCTGAGAAGAAATCAGACTAAAGGGTCACTGCAGACTTACTCTGATCTAATGAAACTTTTCTGGAAAATATATTGATTTGTATGTCTTAAAATTATTTTAAAGAGGGGCTGGGGATTTAGCTCACCGGCAAAAGCGCCTGCCTGGCAAGCGCAAGGTCGTGAGTTTGGTTCCCGGTACCGGAGAAAAACCAAAAAAAAATAAAAAAAATTATTTTAAAGAGTCTAACGTGAAATATTATCTCTAATGAAATCATAAACTCCAGTTTTACAAGTGCTTCACTTTATCCACACAGTTATTGCAACAAAGCCAAGGAGAAGAAAGATAGATATAATTATTTTAAAACATTCCAATGGATGGGAAGATACTTCGTTAAGAACTTCAGTTATCTTTCTAGCCAAATAAAATAAAATGCATGAGTCATTCACCAGCTTTTTAAAAAAAATTATGGAATAACAAACTAAAATGTACTACTTAAGTAAATATTTAATAGCTTCTATGTGAAAAAAGTTGAGAAGCGCAACCTAAGCAAATATTTCTAACCTCAGCAAATGCTTCTAAGCGGTTTTTCAAGTCCTTGTTTAGCTTTTTTCCTCTGCGTAGCAGTTTGTCATTGAGAAGCAAAATGTCTCATCGGTGGAGTTGTCAAGAGACAATAAAAGTAATAAATATTTTAACCAAATCATTAAGCGTTCATTTTAATTCTGCTGCAGAGATAATTCCTGAGGACTTATAATATTTCTATTTCATATTCCTAAACTAAGAGCACTGTACTTATAAACTTATAATACTTTAAATATGGAAGGAGTGGTCTCATATTATCATAAGAAATGATGATAAAGAAAAGAAATATCTTGTCATAATATTTTTAATAAAATATAATTGATGCCTTAACAGTAATTTAATTGCCAAGTATTGTCTTTCTCAGTGTGTGTGTGTGAGTGTGTGTGTGTGTGTGTGTGTGTGTGCTCAGTGAGGTGGGTGTTTATGAAACTGAAGTAGAAAACAGAATTTAAAACCAGTTTTACAAATCAAATAAGATCCGCTCTTATGTAAAAGGAATTGGGCAACTATTGTCGGGCTTCAAGAGAACACAAAGATTTCAGCTAAAATACAGCTTTAAACTGAAGGAATTACAAGGAGAAAGACATAACTTTATTTAGGTAGAACATGAAATTAGATGTCTCATTTATTGATAGGACACACTGTAGAAAATGAAAAATATAATGACTGTGTGCATTTTGAGATTATTTTAATGCAACATTGCGACATTT